TTCTTAAAGAACTCTGCTGATCTCCCAAGTTAATGTTGGCTTAAAATCCAGCAAGGCTTGGGCCTTGTCTCAGAAACGACAATGACTGAAATTGAGTAGGATTTGAGGCTGGGTTTTTTTTTGTTTTTTTGTTTGGTATAGAGGATGTTTCGGGCTGGTTGCATTGTTGTTAAAAGTTTGCATGAATTGGGTCAGTCTAGAGCAGGGATCTTCAAACTTGTCCCTTTTATGACTTGTGGACTTCAACTCCCAGAATTCCTCAGCCAGGCACGCTTAATGGTTAGTAGGGAATGAATACTTAATGGTTAGTAAGGGGTGAATAATGGTTAGTAGAGAATGGATACTTAATGGTTAGTAGGGAATGAATACAATGGTTAGTAGGGAATAAATACTTAATGGTTAGTAGGGAATAAATACGTAATGGTTAGTAAGGGGTGAATAATGGTTAGTAGAGAATGAATACCTAATGGTTAGTAGGGAATGGATACTTAATGGTTAGCAGGGAATAAATACTTAATGGTTAGCAGGGAATGAATACTTAATAGTTAGTAGGGAATGAATACTTAATGATTAGCAGGGAATGAATACTTAATGGTTAGTAGGGAATGGATACTTAATGGTTAGCAGGGAATAAATACTTAATGGTTAGCAGGGAATGAATACTTAATAGTTAGTAGGGAATGAATACTTAATGATTAGCAGGGAATGAATACTTAATGGTTAGTAGGGAATGAATACTTAATGGTTAGTAGAGAATAAATACTTAATGGTTAGTAAGGGGTGAATACTTAATGGTTAGTAGGGGGTGAATGGTTAGTAGAGAATGAATACCTAATGGTTAGTAGGGAATGAATACTTAATGTTTAGTAGGGAATGAATACCTAATGGTTAGTAGGGAATGGATACTTAATAGTTAGCAGGGAATAAATACTTAATGATTAACAGGGAATTAATACTTAATGGTTAACAGGGAATTAATACTTAATAGTTAGTAGGGAATGAATACTTAATGGTTAGTAGGGAATTAATACTTAATGGTTAGTAGGGAATTAATACTTAATGGTTAGTAGGGAATTAATTAAAAGGGAATACGGAGAGTCGCATTCAAAGCATCTGGAAGGAAACGGTTGGGGAAGCCTTTGGAAATCGTTCCATAGACCAAATTCTCTTCCTTTTCTCCTTTCAGGGACCGGTTCCAGCATCTTATCAGCCCTTCAGGATCTCTCTTGGCTGTCGAAGTCCAAAGTGGAGAAGCAGCTGCAGATCATTTCAGTGCTACAATGGGTGATCTCGTTCCTTACGATGGGTAAGGAGGTCTTTCTGTCTCAAACACTCGAGACTTTTGGGGTGCTGCTATTGGGAGAGAGGATCACTAAAAGCATGGATCACTAAAAGCTGCCTTCAAGTGAGACTTTATCTACTTTGATCTTGGTTGCCTAGGTCAGGGGTAGGCAATCTTGGCTCTTTAATGACTTGTGGACTTCAACTCCCAGAATTCCTGAGCCAGCATGGCTCAGCTTGGAAACCTGTCCCTTTCCCCTCAGCATGGCTGACTCTGGAATTCTGGGAGTTGAAGTCCACGAGTCATAAAGGAGCCATAGTTCCCCCATGCTGGCATAGGAATTCTGGGAGTTGAAGTCCACGAGTCATAAAAGAGCCAAGGTTGCCCCATGCTGGCACAGGAATTCTGGGAGTTGAAGTCCACAAGTCATGAAGGGGAATTCTGGGAGTTGAAGTCCTCGAGTCATAAAAGAGCCAAGGTTGCCTACCCCTGGCCTAGGTGAAATACAGGGGCCGTGTTTAGACAACTGGATCGAAGTCTAAGATCCAGCAGCTTCCTCAAAATTAAGTCCTCGACTTTACTATAATTCGTTTAACGACCATTCAGAGTTACCATGACACTGAAAAAGTGACGTATGAACGTTTTCCACACTTACGACCGTTGCAGCATCCCCATGGTCACGTGATAAAAATCCAGACGCTTGGCAACTAGCTCATATTTTTGACGATTGCAGTGTCCCCCAGGATCACGTGATCCCCTTTTGTGATCTTATGACAAGCAAAAGTTAATGGGGAAGCCAGATTCAGTTAACGACCGTGCTAAGCTAGAAAAAGAAAAAGAAAGCTGAAGCATACAGATGGGCTGTCATGGTTCCGACAAATGAAACTCTTCGAAGAACTTTGAGGCATTGTTTACCTTAAAGAATCTTTATTTGAGTAGCATAGCATCCGCATGTACATAGGCAAAGCCAAAACCTGAATTCCCCTCCCCTGAGCACATAGTATAAAAGCACAATTCCCTCCTCTAATTAATCGTCATAAATCACATCCCCCAATTAGTTTGAAATGCAGGCTTTCCCTCCAGTTCTCCAGCCCGGCCATTTCTTATCATCTCTTATTTCAAAAAACCTTGGGGGCTGGACTTGAAGACCCCCAAAGTCCCTTCTAATTCTTTCTTCCCTAAATTCAGATTCATTTTTCTTATTCAGCTTTACCTAAACCCTGAATAATGATCCAGGATTTCCAGGGCAAAAAAGGAATGGGATGCCTGTCCCGAGTTCAAAGGACCTAGACATCAGTCCCAAGTTTTATCTACCCCGTGATCCAAAATATGAGTGTGACCGTGACTTGTCAAGGCCATTTTGTGGGGGATGGAGGGGGGGTTAGGGATCCACCCCTACTTGGAACAAATGGATTTGCTGCAGGTGTCCAACTTGTTTGCGAAAATCTGGCTTAGTGCCCTGTTTGGTGTTTTTCACTCCATGTCCCAAAGGTGCTTTTTCACGAGGCAACTGGACTTTCTTGTTTTCTTTGAAGACGTCTTGCTTCTCATCCCAAGAAGCTTCTCCAGAGCTGAAGAAGAAGACTCTGAAGAAGCTTCTTGGATGACAAGCGAAACGTCTTCAAAGAAAGAATTTGGACTAGATGACCTCCAAGGTCCCGTCCAACTTTATTATTGTTATATAGAAACAAAGAAAGCCCAGTTGCCTCATGAAAAAGCACCTTTGGGACAACCAGGACCTGGATGACAGAGGATCTCCATAGACCAGGGATAGGCAACCCTGGCTCTTTTATGACTCGTGGACTTCCAGAATTCCTGAGCCAGCATGGGGGAACTATGGCCCCTTCATGACTTGCGGACTTCAACTCCCAGAATTCCTGAGCCAGCATGGGGGAAACTTTGGCCTCTTCATGACTTGCGGACTTCAACTCCCAGAATTCCTGAGCCAGCATGGGGGAACTATGGCCCCTTCATGACTCGGGGACTTCAACTCCCAGAATTCCTCAGCCAGCATGGGGAAAACTTTGGCCCCTTCATGACTCGTGGACTTCAACTCCCAGAATTCCTCAGCCAGCATGGGGAAATCTTTGGCCCCTTCATGACTTGTGGACTTCAACTCCCAGAATTCCTGAGCCAGCATGGGGGAAACTTCGGCCCCTTCATGACTTGTGGACTTCAACTCCCAGAATTCCTGAGCCAACATGGCTCAGCTTGAAAACCTCTCCCTTTCCCCTCAGCATGGCTGGCTCAGGAATTCTGGGAATTGAAGTCCACGAGTCATAAAAGAGCCAAGGTTGCCTATCCCTGCCATAGACTTTTCACTCCATAAATAACAAAAATCTCAGTTTGTGCCGCTTTTCCTTTTGAAAGGATACAAGTTTGAAGACCCCCGCGTTATAGGATTTCTTTGCTTGGAGACATAGAATAGAATAACAGAGCTGGAAGGGACCTTGGAGGTCTTCTAGTCCAACCCGTACTAGCCAAACCAATTGTGGTTTGTTAACCTGGTCCGCTTGGTGAATTGGACCTGTAAGCGCGTGGACTGTGAGTAAGGGGAGGGTCTAGATTGCTGTGCCAAAGAATTGCCTACTTTCCTTATTCCTGGCTCACGTCCGAAAAGATTGCTTATTTTGGTCACCTGATCATAAAAAAGATGTTGAGAGTTTGGAAAAAATTCAGAGAAGAGCAACTAAGATGATTAAAGGCCTGGAGACTAAAACATAGGAAGAACGGCTGCAGGACTTGGGTTTGGCTAGTCTAAAGAAAAGAAGAAATAGGGGAGACATGATAGCATTGTTTCAGTATCTGGGGGGCTGCCACAAGGCAGAGGGGGGGTCAGGTTGTTCACCAGAGCACCAGAGGGCAGGACGAGAAACAATGGTTGGAAACTAATCAAGGAGAGAAGCAACCTGGAATTAAGGAGAAACTTCCTGACAGTGCGGACAATCAACTAGTGGAACAGCTTGCCACCAGAAATTGTGGGCGCTCCATCACTGGAGATTTTTAAGAAGAAACTGGACATTCACCTGTCTGAGATGGTATAGGTTCTCCTGCTTGAGCAGGGGGCTGGACTAGTTGACCTCCAAGATCCCTTCCAGCTCTATTCTATTCTAATAGCGAGTCACCTTCCCTTGTATATATTTTTTTTAACGAGGTGCCTTACAGAGGTCCTGTGCTATAATTCCCAGCTGGTGCGTTCTTTGCCTGGAGAATTGTGGGAGTTAAAGTACATCCCTACTTGGGGGAGGGCAGGGTGTTTGTTAATTCCACCTATTCCTTTGGCAAGTTTAAGTTGCCCTGTCCTTGGTAAATGACCCAGAATACGCTTCTCTTTACTTCTCTTCTGTTTACTTGGGCAACCGAACCCTTGGCAGAGAGGGTGGTTAAATCAGTCATGGCCCATTTTTCAAACCATGGGCAGGCAACCCTGGATATTGCTTGTGTGGCATATCATTAGAATGTGGCACGGCCGAAAGAATCAGGATAATAGAATTAACAGGGTTGGAAAGGACCTTGGAGGTTTCTAGTCCAGCCCCCTACTCACACAGGAAACCCTATACCAGTGGTGGCGAACCTATGGCACGGGTGCCAGAGGCGGTACTCAGAGCCCTCTCTGTGGGCACGCACGCCGTCGCCCCAGCATAGTTCGCCAGAGTAGCGAGCACGTGGCATTTGGAAGCAATGGGGCAGGAAGTGAGCAAGCAAGCGGCATTGGCCCCCTTGGGGATGGCCCAGAGATGGTGAGGGACTGGTTCCCCGCCAGCCTGGTCCCAGCCCACCCACCCACCCACCCCGGTCACGGCCACCCAGTCTGCCGTGACCACCACAGCTGTGATCACCACAGCCGTGCCCACCCAGCGGCCATGCCCACCCAGTGGGCCACGCTCCCCCGCTCCGCCTGAGAGCACCACTTCTGGAGGCAAGGAGCTCCACTAGTTAATTGTTCTCATTGTCAGGAAATTTCTCCCTTATTTCTAAATTGGATCTCTTCCCCAAGACAGAGAAGATACCCATTTAAATTGTTCAAAAAATGAAAATTCTATGCCCGGGTGCAACTGTTCTGATTTGCAGGTTTGAGATAACTTGCTCATGGCATGTTAATGTGGAATTTAGAATAGAATAGAATAGAAAATATGGAATGGAATGGAATAGAATAGAATAGAATTACAGACTAGACTAGACTAGAATTACAGAATAGAATAGGATTACAGAATAGAATAGAATAGAATAGAATAGAATAGAATAGAATAGAATAGAATAGAATAGAATAGAATAGAAAGTATGGAATCGAATGGAATAGACTAGACTAGACTAAACTAGAATAGACAAAGTTGGAAGGGACCTCAGAGGTCATCTAGTCCAACCCCCTGCTCAGGCAGGAAACCCTAAACCATTTCAGACAAATGGTTATCCAATCTCTACATGCCAGTTGCCAAAGCGTCTGAATTTTGATCACGTGGCTCGTGGGTTTGCCGTAACGGCCGTTAAGCGTGAAAAACGGTCCTAAGTCCCCTTTTTTTCAGTGCCGTTGCAATTTCAAACCGTCACTAGCGCGAATGGCTGTTATTCAAGGACTAAGCTGGCATTCCTGGCTCTGCCAGTCTTCTGCATCCAGCGCCAGCCTCAGAATCTCTGGGCGAGTAAACATGTTTATTGCTACAAGGGTGGTTTGTTTTTTTTCTTTCTTTCTCCCCCTCCAGGGACAAAGTACAATTAAATTGCGAAGGAATTTTAAGGGAATTCCTCCCCTTTGCAGCTGAGGTACCTTTTGAATGATCAGCCTCTCAACATCTTAACTGTTCCCCAGGTGGGAGGCTCCCGTCTTGCCAATGGGAGTTTGGGATCATTTTCCCTTACCTTCCAGCTGCGCGTGGCGCTTTTATGGTTCCTTTAGGACAAGGTTCATCAGCGGATTGATTAATTAATTACAGGTCGTCCTCGACTTACGACCACAGCGGAGCCCAGCTTTACAAGTTGCCCCATTTTACAGCCTTCCAGTTTTGCCCCATTGTACAGCCTTTCAATTTGCGCCGTTTCGGCGGCCTTTCCGTTTGCCCCATTTTACGACCCTTCCTGTCCGCCGTTGTTATGGGAAGCCAGTCCCACGGTTATTAAGCAAATCTGGCTTCCCTGTTTGACTTGACCTAATAATAATAATGATAAAGTTGGAAGGGATCTTGAGGGTCATCGAGTCCAACCCCCTGCTCAGGAAGGAAACCCTGTACCATTTCAGACAAATGGCTGTCCAGTCTCTTCTTAAAAACTTCCAGTGTTGGAGCATTCACCGCTTCTGGAGGCAGGTGGTTCCACTGGTTAATTGTTCTCACTGTCAGGAAGTTTCTCCTTAGTTCTAGGTTGCTTCTCTCCTTGATTAGTTTCCATCTGTTGCTTCTTGTCCTGCCTTCAGGCGCTTTGGAAAATAGCTTGACTCCCTCTTCTTTGGGGCAGCCCCTGAGATATTGTAAGACTGCTATCATGTCCCCCCTCGTCCTTCTCTTCGTTAAACTTGTCGGAAGGTCGCAGAAGGGGGGATCACGTGATCCCCCCAGGACACCGCAACCCATCATAAGTACAAAGCGTCCAAATTTTGATCATGTGACCGTGGAGATGTTGCAACGGTCCTTAGGCGTGAAAAACGGTCATCGTAAATCACTTTTTTTCCCCCAGTGCCATCGTAACTTTGAACAGCCACTAAATGTGTGGTTCTAAATTGAGGACTACCTGAGTTAGATAGCAGTATAGTCCTTTGAGGTTCCTCCAGGTTTTTATAAGGGGGGAGAAACTTGGAACCTTTTTCCCAAAAAATAATTATGAGTGGAGAGGAGACCACCAGGTAATACCAAGGTCAGGACATCCTGTTTTGAAAGAAGGACATCCTGTTTTGCTTTGAGGAAATCCTTGAAATATGAAATTTCTGACCTGGATTAATTCTCTCTTCTCTTTTCTTCCAGGAGTTATTTGCACTATTATCCTCATATATATGCTCTGCACAGACTGTTGGATTATAACAGTTCTATACTTAGTGTGGTATGCCTTCGACTGGAACACTCCTAGGAAGGGTAAGTGTCAGACCTGTCCCAATCCGATCCCTTAGAAAAGGAAAGACCTTGACTCCATTTGGGTAAAGCAAAGGGTTGGTGTTTTTTTTTTTTTTACTAAGGATGTTGGTTGCAGTAAAGTCCAGCCAGCTATGAAATTTTCCGTGCTCGCTAGATACAAAAATAAGGGGTAGGTTTGCCTACAGCTTGTCCCTGTCTGCATGACCTGTCCGTTTTTAGCCAACTGGAGCTCACCAAGATCCTATCAATCAATCAATCAATCAATCAATCAATCAATCAATCAATCAATCAATCAATCAGAATAGAGCTGGAAGGGACCTTGGAGGTCTTCTAGTACAACCCCCTGCTCAAGCAGGAGACCCTATATGATTCTGGACAAATGACTGTCCAGTCTCTTCTTAAAAACTTCCAGTGTTGGAGCATTCACCACTTCTGGAGGCAGGTTGTTCCACTGGTTAATTCTCCTCACTGTCAGGAAGTTCCTCCTTAGTTCTAGGTTGCTTCTCTCCTTGCTTAGTTTCCACCCATTGCTTCTTGTCCTGCCTTCAGGCACTTTGGAGAATAGCTTGACTCCCTCTTCTTTGGAGCATGCTGGCTCAGGAATTCTGGGAGTTGAAGCTCACGAGTCATGAAGGGGCCATAGTTCCCCCATGCTGGCTCAGGAATTCTGGGAGTTGAAGTCCACGAGTCATAAAAGAGCCAAGGTTGCCTACCCCTGATCTGGAGGATTTCAGCTTTTCCAAATATCCCAAGCCATGGATAAGTGTTTTTCAGTCTTAGCACCTTTAAGACTGTAGACTTTGGACTCCCAATTATTCTGTATCTTCAGAGGCAGGGTAGAAATTGATGGGAAGTATCAATACTGTAGCCCTAAACCAGGATGACCCAAGCCCCAAATCTGGGAAGACAGGTGGTTTTGCTTTGATGCTTGTTCCTACTTTTCCCTCCCTTGATTTGAGCGATGTGGTTAACTAAATGTAAATCAGCTTCCCCAATAGGCTAGTTGCCTGAACCTCCCTTGTTTAGATCCTCTCCCCATTGTTTTCTCTTTTTTTATTTTTTCAAAGCTGGAAGAAGATCACAGTGGATCCGGAACTGGGCCATATGGAGATATTTCCGGGATTACTTTCCAATTCGAGTGAGTTGCTGGGATGAAAGAAAGCAAAGAGATTATTTCAATTGAAGTGTGAAAATGCTTTGGGGTTCTCACAGGTAGTCCTCGGCTTACGACCACAATTGAGCCCAAAACCTCTGTCACTAAGTGAAACGTTTGTTTATTGAGTTTTGTCCCACTTTAGGACTTTTCTTGCCACAGTTCTTAAGCGAATCCACGGCAGTTGATAAGTTACTAACCCGGCTGTGGAGTGAATCTGGTTTCTGCCTTAACTTTGCTTGTCACATGGTCGCAAAAGGGGATCTCGTGACCCCCCCGGGATGCAGCGATGGTCATAAATAGGAACCAGTTGCCCAGCATCTGAATTTTGATCACATGATCACAGGGAGGCTGTAGACGTCGTAATTCTGAAAAAATGGTCGTAAGTCACTTATTTCAGTGCCGTTGTAACTTTGAACGGCCACTAAATGAACTGTTGTCAGTTGAGGGCTACCTGTATTTATTTTTTATTTATTTGCAAAATTTCTGGGCAGCTTACAATCTTAAAAAAAAGATAAAAACTATACTTTTAGAGGAAATCCTTGACTTACGACTAGAATTGAGCATGACGCTTCGGCTGCTAAGCAAGGAGGCCGTTCAGGAAGTCATGGCTGATTTTTTTGGGCCACGGTTGTTAAGCGAGTCTGGCTTTTGCCACTGACTTTATTGAAAAAGCCCCTGGGAAGGTCATAAAAATGGCAGCCACGCGTCCTTGGGATGCTGGCACAACCGTCATAAATATACGCCAGTTGCCAAGCACCTGAATTTCGATCGCGTGGCCATGATGGGGATGCTTTGATAGTCGTAAGTGTGAGGACTGGGTCATATGCCGCTGTTTTCAGCGCTGTGGTAACTTTGAACGGTTGGGCTAAAGAAGTGGTCGTAAGTTGAGGACTGCCTGAAGTGTGCGTCATGCTCCTGTGCCACATATATGCCAAGAAAGCTTGCACAGTCGTGAAGGAGATGGCAGATCTACTTATTACACTTCCCAACGTGGAAGAGGTCCTCCAAGCAGAGGTGCTATTGCAGGGGTCTTCAAACCTGGCCCTTTTATGACTGGTGGACTTCAACTCCCAGAATTCCTCAGCCAGGCACGGTGGCTGAGGAATTCTGGGAGTTGAAGTCCACCAGTCATAAAAGGGCCAAGTTTGAAGACCCCTGTGCTATTGTGTGTCCCTGGTCATTGCTAGGGGTGGCCAGAGGGGGCGACATTGCATCCACCAACTCAGCTGGACCCACAGCATGAGTCTACCAATGAGTTTTCATCAAAGATCTATGGTAAGGCTGGCTGGGGAATTCTGGGTGTTGAAGTCCACACCTCTTCACACTTGCCAAGGTTGAAAAACACTGCTTTAAATGTTTTTCTGTCCAGCCTTTTATCTACAAACATCTTGCTCAAATCGTGTCTGATTGCTGGCTTGAGTTTCTCTCTTTGTCTGCTCCTCTGAACTCTGCCTTTTATTTCCAAACTGGTTAAGCCGGAATTTGTTCGAGTTTTTCTTGATTGAGGTTGTGCAAAATAGTGTCCGGTTCTTGTGGGGATCTGGAAAAATAAGTTTGCAGGATGAGAGCTGCTACAGCTTTTTTCACTTTTCATTCCAAATCTGGGAAGCTCTTCACAGCCCATTCCCTATATCAGGGGTCCCCAACCTGTGGGCCGCGCCCTCGTGTTGGGTCGTGGCCTGCTGGCCACTGGGCCGCAAGACAGGCTGGCCAGTGTGCGCGCACACCGCGGCTGCGGGGCACAAAAACGGGAGGCCACGCCACGGGGCGCAAAAACGGGAGGCCGCTGCACCTTGGAGCGTGAAAACGGGATGCCATTTTGCAGGGTGCAAAAATAGGACACTGCTGCACTGCAAGGTGCAAAAATGGCTGCAGACGTGCCGCGGGGCACGGAAACGGACCACCGCCATGCCATGGGCCACAAAAACGGGCTACCGCTATGCCACGGGGTGCAGAAACAAGGCACTGCGCCACGCAAGAATGGGGCGGGACTAGTGAGCATCACCCAGGTGCTAGCCCTGCCCTGTTTGCAAGCACGTGCATGCTTGCGGCCCCATGCGCACGCACGCGCATGCACACATATAAAATGCTTCCCCCTCCCTTTTCCTCCGATCCGCCAACCGACAAAGGTTGGTGACCTCTGCCTTATATGAGCAATATTTGGAATAGATTTGATTGACATCTAATGGTGGACTTGTGCCTACTGTGTTACTTATTATAATAAGTTCACAGAGGGAATGAAATCCTTCTCAAGGTTACTGCTGTTGAGCCAGGTGCATTTGGTTTTTCTTGCCTATAAGTGTAAAACTTTACTTTTCTCACCACTGAATTGCATTTTCTTAGATCGGGTGCCATGCTCAGGTCTGTTGAGATCTGTTAATAATAATAATAATGATAAAGTTGGAAGGGACCTTGGAGGTCATCTAGTCCAACCCCCTGCTCAGGCAGGAAACCCTGTACCATTTCAGACAAATGGCTGTCCAGTCTCTTCTTAAAAACTTCCAGTATTGGAGCATTCACTACTTCTGGAGTCAGGTTGTTCCACTGGTTCATTGTTCTAACTGTCAGGAAGTTTCTCCTTAATTCCAGGTTGCTTCTCTCCTTGATGAGTTTCGATCCGTTGCTTCTTGTCCTGCCTTCAGGCGCTTTGGAAAATAGCTTGACTCCCTCTTCTTTGGGGCAACCCCTGAGATACTGTAACACGGCTATCATGTCCCCCCTCGTCCTTCTTTTCTCTAGACTAGCCATATCCAATTCCTGCACCAATCCCTTCCAACTTTATTATTATTATTATTATTATTATTATTATTATTATTATTATTATTATTATTATTATTATTATTATTATTATTATTATTATTTTGAACTTCTGCCCTGGGACTTGTTGTCATCCTTATAAAAAAAGCTGAGTTGTGAGTTGTGTTTTGGCACCTATCAAAGGGCATCCTTTGATCTAGAGCTTTTCATTTGCTATAGTCAGGTTTTTCCTGCCCCAGTTGTAAAATACAGTGAACTAAGCCCAGACGTGGCTTATCTCTTAGTGACAACAGCTCAATTTAAGTCTCAAAGTCTCTGAAATAATTTCTTTGCAAGGACAGCTGTGCTCTGTAATCCTGACCTTCCTCAGGTGGCAGACAGGTTGCACTGGTGAAGCCCTAAAGCAGAGGTAGGCAACCTTGGCCCCTTCATGACTGGTGGACTTCAACTCCCAGAATTCCTGAGCCAGCATGGGGGAACTATGGCCCCTTCATGACTGGTGGACTTCAACTCCCAGAATTCCTGAGCCAGCATGGGGGAACTATGGCCCCTTCATGACTCGTGGACTTCAACTCCCAGAATTCCTGAGCCAGCATGGGGGAACTATGTCCCCTTCATGACTCGTGGACTTCAACTCCCAGAATTCCTGAG